TGTGTATGTATATACATATAAGAAACCAAACAATCATTTTATATATGTAAACATTTTACCCACAAAATCATTTTTTAAAATCGTCGTTTTTACATCCTACTTTTCGTTTCTGAGTATGAAGCATGCCTTTAGATTTAAAACAAGTGTCATTTTGTTGGTTATATTTCTACTTCATCTTTTTTTATCAATTCTTGAATACATCTGTAAACTTTTTATTGGAACGCGATATGAATACAAGTAAGAACGGTAAAAACATTTGAGATAGACCATCAGTAGGGAAGTAACCTATAAATTTAAAAAATTTGAAATCTAATACTAATTTAAGAAATAAAAGTTAGACTAATATCATTTGTAAGTCTTTCCTTACAAAAATTGATAAAATGATTAATAATACTACCTCTAATCCTTAATATAAGACTGTATTTGACTTTTATGTTGGTCCTAAATATAAGACCCCGATTCATTTTGTTTCTCATATTTATTCAATTTTTTTCTAAGATAATCCTTTTAATAATTATAGTTTTAGTGAATACACTTGATTAGTAAGGATATTTTAAGAAAGATAACACATATTTATTACAAATAACTAACTTAACTTCTTTCCTTAATTTCCTCAAATTAATCAACTAGCTCTTATAATTAACTGGAGGGAGTATTCATTATTCTCGTGTGATATTTTATTTAACATTCCACCATTTACTCTGGGTTCACATGAGAGAATCTAAGCTGTTGGCAAAACAAAACATGAAGAAAATTCAAAGCTATTGGCGGAAAATTCATGTTCTTATATTGATAATAAGTGTTTTTCCCCACAAATGTGTTAATTCTGGGGAAAAAATTACTTTCAAAGTCCCATACAAGGAGTATGAGGAGAATAGTAATAAAGACCTTAAAAATTCTAAAATCCCAAATCAAGATTTATAATAAGTTTTGACAACATATTAAATTATAAATAACAACATATTTTTTGTAAAATATCTAATTTGAAATTTTGTAATTTTTAGGATCTTTTTTTATCATTCTCTTAAAATCTAAAGATAAAAAAGAATTAAAATAAAAATCTATCAACGGAATATAAAAAAATATATCCCATCATATTAATCTGGATGTTAGAGTGCTTATAAAGATTTCAAATTGACGTAATGAACATTTGCTTAAATAATCTGTTGTGGTATTTTTGATGCATTTTTACACCTAAGTAAGTTGTGGTGTTAGGTACGTAATACTACCTCTGATTTTAATTATAAAATTTTACTTATAAACTACAAACAAGGTTTTATAATTAAGATCAGAAGTAGTACTTCATATGTAGATGTGCAAATCTCATCACATACATAATAATTCTCAAATTTGGCGTAAGTAAATATGTTTTCATACTATTAATGTTAATCAGAGTGTGTGTATTAGAAAATGGGTTGAGATAATGTTTTTGCACAATAATAGCATTAATGATAAGGGACGAACGCTTATTACTGCTTTGAGTTGGGAAATTTGGAAGGCTAGATATGATTTTGTTTTCCAAGGGATCCAAGTAGATCCCATGAAAGTGATTTCTTCAGCTACTTGTCTGGCAAACGAAATTTGGGCTGTCAAAGCTACTGAGATTGGTTAGATTCAATGTAGAACTAACAATCATGTTGTAAGGGAATTATTTTGGAGAGCCCCTACAGCTGGAACAGTTTACATCAATGCTGATGGAGCTTTTAAGAAGAATCCTATTTGTGCAGGGATTGGGATTGTGTGCAGAGATCATAAAGGCATGGTACTTGGAAGCATTTGCAAGACAGTGAAAGCTTCTTCACCTTTTCATTCAGAATGCATCGTCCTCAAGGAAGCAATTCTATTTGTCGCTCAATTCTGTTATTTCTTGGTGTATTTAGAGACTGATTGTGAGGAGCTATTTTTAGCTGTCAAAGGCAAGACTATATGGATATGATTGAATGGCAGTGTGTGCAAATCTTCAATAAAATCCTTTGCTTGTTGGACAGTAGCCTCACGTCAAACCTCCCTTGTTGCAAGAAAGGGGAATTGCACTGCAGATTATATTGCATTTTGTGCAAAAATAGGGTAAGTTCCAATGGAGTGCTGATTTTAGCATCACCTCATTTCCAACAGATTTTGAGATCTCATGTTGCTGGCTTAGATTGTGACTGTAGTCTTGATCCAGGGATAAGTGCTGGTGAGCAAGTGGGCATTGGATAATGTATTTTTGTACTGTTTCTTTTTGCTAGCCTTGTGTGTTGGTGATTTCATTAATAAAATGCATTCTTTTTGTTTTAAAAAATATGTTTTCATACTCAATTATATCAAAATATTCTTAATTTATTTTTTACAACATCTTTAATCCACTTTCAGTTCAACGTGTCGAAGCTTTGAACTACCACAATCCCTCATGCTAGTAGTGTGCCTTTGGAAACATATTGCGAAATTACTACCGTAGTTTTCAAAAATATTATATATATTTCTTCTGATATTTAATATAAAAGTTAGTTAAAAATTAAGGAAAATGACAGTAAAATACCATGTGAATTTCAAAAGACAAATAAGGCACCTGAATAAGCAAAATGATAAATAAGGCATTGGGTACCAATCTGGAATTTGATTTTTGACCTAATGACTGAATTGCCCTTATTATGTTGAAAACTGAGGAGATGGAGAAAGGGAGAAATCACCTCCTCTGGCGAAAGCAATCCCCCCATTTGGCGAAACCGAATCCCCCTACTTGAAGAAACAATCCTCACACTCGGCAAAACTAAATCCAAGTTCCTCCAATCACCGAAAAAGGTTTTATGAAATTACATTGTCGCCGTTGCAGGAGTAAAGTGCTGTCGGTGAAATTGGTAACCGTCGCAAGAGTAGAGTGCAATCATTTGAATATATGTAATGTATCTGCTGTCATATGACTACTGGTTTTGGTAAATACTGGTACGTGAATGGTACATTCCATTACACATGTAGTTAGTATGAAAGTTAATGGTTCAATGTTTACTTTGATGTACTTCAAATGCAATCATTTGAATATATGTAATGTATCTGCTGTTATATGGCTGCTGGTTTTTGACAAATATTGTTTCGTGAATGGTGCATTACATTACACAAAGTAGTAATTTTCACTATGAAGTTGTAAATATCACTATGTATTGTAAAATTCAGCGTGAAATTGTATGTTTTTTTTATAGAATTTACCCCGCCCCTCACAAAAGGTTGCAAAGCCCATTGAAGAAGTAGTAAATATCATTGTGAAAGTTGTTATTCCCAATATGTATTTTGTAAAATTCAGTGTAGAATTGTTTTGTTTTTGACAGAAACGTTGCCCAGCCCCTCACAAAAAGTTGCAAAATCCATTGAAAAAGTAATAAATCTCACTGTGAAAGTTGTTATTCCCATTATGTATTTGTAAAATTCAGCGTGAAATGAATTGTTTTGTTTTTTATAGAAAAGTTACCCATCCCTTCACAAAAAGTTGCAAAACTCATTGAAAAAGTAGTAGTACATCTCACTGTGAAAGTTGTTATTCCCATTATGTTTTTGTAAAATTAGCGTGGAATTGTTTTGTTTTGACAGAAACATTGGCTAGCCCCTCACAAAAGGCTACAAATCCCATTGAAAATGTAGTAACACTCACTGTGAAAGTTGTAAATCTCACTATGTCTTTTGTCAAATTCAGCATGGAATTATATTTTTGTAGAAAAAAGTTGCCCTGCCCCTCAAAACAGGTTGTCAAACCCCTTGAAGAAGTGGTCAAATTCACTTCGCGAGTTATAAATCTCGTTATACGTGTAGTAACATTCTGGGCAAATGATTTAACAATACTTGAAAATCAGGCAGCTTTACATTTCCTGAAAATAGTTTACAAATCCCCTTACATACAAATCTCCTTGCAAATCGGAGAACCTTTTTCGGTGACTAGAGGAGCTTGGATTTAGTTTCGTTGAGTGGGGGGATTCAGTTTCGTTGAGTGGAGGGATTGGTTTCGTCGAGTGGGATTCGGTTTCACTGAGGGGAGGGATTAGTTTCACCGAGTAGGTGGATTGGTTTCGCCAAGTGGGGGCAGTTTCTCTTTCGCCGAGTGGGGGATTGCTTTCGCTGGGAGGAAACGGTTTCTACCTTTCTCTATCTCCTCAGTTTTCAAACATAATAAGGGTAATTCGGTCTTTAGATCAAAAATCAAAATTCCAGATTGGTACCTGATACCTTCTTTGTCATTTTGCTTATTCAGGTGCCTTATTTGTCTTTTTGAAATTCACATGGTATTTTATTGTCATTTTCCAAAATTTAATTAGGTCCTACATATAATATCCCCATTCACTTTGCTTATGATATTTATTCATTTTGCTCATAAATAATCTACATGCTAGTGGTACATATTAAGGAGTTTCCATCAAGAAATATTTTCAATGGACATTATTAGTAGAAACATTTTAAGAAAAATAATATCTATTTATTATAAATAATTAACTTAAATAATTTTTTAATTTTTACAAATTAATTATATAATTCATATGTTAAAGATCAGAGACCAAATATAATACTTCTCCTATCCTAAATATAAAACCCATTATATAGTATAATTTACAACATAAATAGGTATTACATTTAGGATAGGGAATAATTACTAAAAATATCTTAATAATAAGTGAGTAGTATCAATTTTGTTGTGATATTCTACGCATAAAGTTGTGATTGACTTCTCATGGAATATCTGGTAATTACAATGTTTTTTTTTCCATCACATTGTATAATTTTGCCAATATTTTCCAACAGGATGCTATGCATGAGTGAAACGCTCTATAATTATGTAACCCTCTATGAATATTTTTTTTTCACATAAAAAAATTAGATGAACTAAATCATGAGACTTACCAGTAACAAGGCATGCATCTACGCTCAAATCTTTCATCAATGAGATCCTTGTTAATGGGATTGATGATTATTTGTGAATTGTGCATTTCTTCGTGGGACTTTTTGAAAATTTAGATTTTGTGTGACAATTCAAAATAATGTTCCCTTAATTCTCTCCCCCTTATCCTTCTTCCTTGTGGCGCCACCGCACGACGCGGATGGCACTTCTCTCCTCCATGGCCTTCGCTTCACCTTCGAAGTTCACACTTCTTCGCTCTTTTCATTCTCATCCTCCTCTTCTTTCTTCTTCTTCTTCTTCCATCTCTTTCACTTTTCTTCGCTCTGCTTTTTCTGTTCCTCAACGTTTCCACAAATTTCCGCTCAATACGGCAATCCGATGTGCTGAAAGAGATGTGGCCTCAACTAAGCCGGGTTTTGATCCCAAGGCTGGTGTCGCTGTTTATAAACCCAAATCCTATGAAGTTCTCGTCACTGATGCTGCGAATTCCCTCGCTTATGCTCTTGAAGACGGAAAATCTCGTCTTGAGATTGATTTCCCGTAAAGTCCTCACTCTCTGATGTTTCCGCTTTCGGTTTGCATGAGTTCAAACTAGGTGTACAGTAACTTCATATTTCTAAAACATGAAAATGAGACATTTTATCCCACTTAGTAGCTGGTAGCGTAACTCACTTGTGGAAGAGTCAATTGCTGGATTATCCCTTCTTCTGTGTTTAACTTCGAACTTCTATGTGACAAAAGAAAACTTTGAAGTTTTATGTTTGCATTTTCTTAACTTAAAAGTGTCAATTCGATACTCGATTTTGAGTAATTCCTGGATTCTGCATCTTGCACTGCCCTGTTAATGCTCTCACTTGATTGGTAGTGGGTGTTTTACTATGTTCTATTAAGTTCGCCATTCGACCGATGGGAAAAGGGCATTGGATGTTAGGTGGGCTGTTGCAAGATTTATGGCGTACTCAACTCTCACTGATTGATAAACTCTTTTCAACCCCCGGGGGGGGGGGGGGGAGAAAAGAAAAATTGATAAACTCTTGCGTTCTTGTTCATTGACCTAGTATGTTCGACCAGTCACTGGTAGAATTTTGACTGGCTAGGAAATTTGGTGAACGGGTTAACTTTAAGCAGTACGGTTAAACACTTTTGCATACGCAAAATTAACTGCCATTATATCGTTGAAAAGTGAAATGTAATTCCGAGTTTCTTAGTGAATATATGAGTAGCCAAAATGGGTGAATCTTGTATGTTCGCATATCATCACATCTTGCATAAACGTTTCTTCTTGCATTATCTTTTGTTGTGCTTGCATGATTTTTGTGCTCCATTTGACCACTCACTGGTAGGTATCAATATCTGCATTCTTTCTCTTTAGCCGTGTAAGTCATATTATGCCTATCTAGTTGTGCGATATATGATGAAATACTCTGATTCAAATAATCAAATAAATCATGTATATAATGCTCATACCGGTCATGACTCCTTGGGAACCATGCACTTATAATGTTCATACTGTTACGTGTTAATGCACTCTCAATGCATAGTTTATTTCGGTGGGTTCTAGACGTGATTATAATTTTTTAGTGGGAAGAATATATGTAAATGGCGTACCTTAGGTTTTGACATTATTGGTTGTAGCTTTTATACGCTATCATTTCTATACCTGATTTTGCTCCCGGCGCTTATGTCTTCAGGCTCTGCCCAGCAACATTTCGTCTTATAAGGTACCATTCTTTTCTCTCAATAATCATTATTGATTAAGTTAATAACTCTTGTCAGGTCATGAACTGTCAATCTTTGTATTCTTTTCCATCTTTGAATCTAGTAGGAGTTGCAGTTGTACAGATTTGGTGTATTGTAATAAGTGGGTCAAATTTGACCAGTTGACATTCTTAGAATACTGTAAAAAATATGTTAGTGTTCCTATTGATGTAGGACTCATCTGTGGATGTTATCCAATTTATAATTTATAATTTGTCCATAACGATCAATTAAAAGTTGGATCCAATATGACTGTATCCATTAGATTCATTAAAACTAATGGGCGACATTTAATGGATGATTGAGTGGATTCATGAATCATGGCTATAAGTGCATGCTATACTTGTCTGGCGGCTGATACTATTCTTGATGCTTAAACTTGTGGTATATGACAACTTTCATGTTATTGTGGATCTATATACTTCTCCTTATCTACGGTTGTTTCTTTTTCATCTTTTGTTTTAATATCATTGTGATTCCTTGTATCAATTGTTTTGACATTTTTCCTCTTTTTTTTTATATCTAATTATCTATAAATTTTCATGGCTAGATGTTGATTTTATGCTTCAAGACATTGTTCTCATTTCTAGACCTTTGTAGTCATGTTTGCCTGATTACACTGCACATAATTTTCTCAAATTCCTAAATATTTCAAGGGGTCTTCAGATGAATACAATGATGCAAACATTCAACTTGCCTTGGCTGTTGTGAGAAAGCTCCAGGAAAAGAGGGAGACCAGAGCTTGCATAGTAAGAAGACACATTTTTTCCTTCAGTTTCCCACGCAAGAAGTACATGTTTATAAATACTGATTCTTATTTGGACAAGATACAATTACATTTCTGTTCTAATTGTAGGTATTCCCTGATAAACCAGAAAAAAGAAGGGCCTCTGAGTTGTTCAAAGCAGCTTTGGATTCAGTAAAAAAAATCACGTTCACCATTCTTCTTTTCTTCTTGTTTTTTTTTTCAATGTCATTAAGATGGGAAAAACTGATTGGAGTCCAATTCAATGTAACATATATTCGTTTGTATTGGCCCAACTACATGTCATCTTCGGAAAATTTTTTCCAACGTATCCTTCCAACTCAACAATGACAACTAACAATTGATTGGCGGTCGTTTACACAAAAAGTATCTCAACAAAAAGTGTCTCCCTCATATTAAAGTCTTTCTTATTTTAAGATTCATTTTTGTTATGCTTCAGATTGATGGCATTACCATAGGTTCCCTAGATGACGTGCCTGGTGGACCTATCACTTCGTTTTTCAGATCTGTTAGAGACACCCTTGATTTTGACTTTGAAGATGAGAATGAAGGCAAGTATTGGGGGGAAAAGTATTTATGTGACTATTGTAGGGTGTCACTTGTGGAATTAAGATGTGAATGTACAATGAAGGAATGGAAATGAGGGGATAATCTAGACTTGTTCTGTTTTAAGATACCTTGTTAAAATTTTCCTCTGCATTGCCAGCCTCCATTTTACTCCCTACCAAGTACCAAGTGTACCCTTAAGTTTTATGTTGTGAGATCGAGTTGTAGGTTTGTAATCACCTGATCATGATCAAAAGAATTAGTTTGACACTTATGTTTCTTTACAAATACAGTCGTTGGAAGTCTATGAGCCTCCTACGCTATACATATCATTAATTGCAGCACGCGAGATCTTGCTTACATAGAGCAGTATGTGTATGGCAACTTTGAGAGCAAAACATTTGTACAGTCCTCAATGAATTTAATATCTATTACATCCGTGGCAGGCTGCTTTAGTATGATGGCGTATCATCAACCATTAGTCTGTAACTTGTTGGATTGTGCAGGAAAAATTTGCTATTTCAGCACCAACACTTCTATTTATCTTGAACTAGAAACCCTACGGTATGTTTTCTTGTCATTTTTTCAGTTTTGATCTGTCTGGATCTTAAATACATTTATCACTGACAGACTATGGCAATTGACTTTACAGTGCTGACTTAGGCCTTCTGGGCTTTCACCTAAAGATTTGCACTACCGATTTCTTTGTCAATTTACTCCAGTGTTCTATATTCGAATCAGAGAATATTCAAGGTACACCTCTCTTGGTTAATCTTCTCTAGATATTGATTCTGCATGCAACTGTGAGCTTTGCTTGTTTATTCTTATTCTATTCTTCAGACAGTTGCTGTGGCTCCTTATATTGTCAATTACAGTGGAGCACTGTTTCGTCAGTATCCTGGTAGGCAAAATATTTTTTTAATCAAGTGTTGACCTGGATCATATTGTTTGTTATTGCTCCTTTTTCTTTGGACATGACAAAACACCATTGGACCTCAACTTTATGAATATGTTAAGGTCCTTGGCAGGTGATGCTTAAGCAAGCAGATGGGTCTTATGCTTGCGTAGCTGAGAGTGCAACCCGCTTCACCCTTGGTGAAGTAAGCTCATAGACTTTACCTTATTTTCTTTATAATTTTATATGCTTTCATGCTAATCTATTGCTGATCTAGGCCAAAGATGAATTTGTTGAGGTCCTAGGACTTAAAGAGGAAGAGGGCAGCTCTCTAGAATTTCTTCGAAAAGGCTACAAGGTCTACCCCTGATAAAGAATCTGTCGTTTAGAATTTTATGTATGCCTGTAGCTAGATTTCTCTGTCATTTGTTTATTTCAACGCAGGATTTCCTCTCTGGGTAAAATTTGCACTTTCTATGGCCCTACCTGGGCATTCTTCTTATAACTAGAATGTGGCCCTAATTAGCTGCTTGTGTGAGAAGATTTCAAGTGTGATTTCGTGCTAGCGCTTGATCCACCCTGCCTTGTGTTTGCAGTAAGATACAGTACGCTATCGTTCATATTGCCTTCAGAGTTGAGTGCCGGCTTAGTATTATAAATAATTTTTTTTCCCCGAAACAAAGCTCTTCCGTTCTTAACACAATGTTACTTTATGCACTATAATATACTGTCATTCTTTTGGCCAAAGAAAAAAAATACTGTTATTCTTCATACATGATAGAGCATTAAAGCTAAGAACTATGTGCACTTCTCCCTTGGTTTAATTGTATATGATGCTGTTCTCGCTTCTGTTGGCATGTGCGTTGAGTGGATTGGGTTGAGATACCCTATCTTGTTCATGTCTGAATAAGTTGCATATCTGGTTCCTTTATTGTGTGATTCTGCAGTCAAGCACATGGTGGGAAGAAGATGTTGAGCTAGAAGCATCTTCTGCATGGCGGGGTTGAGCATCATAGTCCTGAAGCAGGTTCAAGATCTTACTGGATCCGCTCAACCTTATTTTGAATGATTATGTATTCTCCAAAAGCACAACCTTTTTCTTATCTTGTATTTCTTTGATGTAATATTTCATATGCCTCTTTTTGTTGTTTGAAACTTCTGCCACCAGCAATTGTGCCCAAGAAAACCCGAACCAATTTGCTGGAAATCCGGTCAACATATGTATATACAACCAATTTATATGAAAGTCAACCCCAATGCAATGCTATATGCGCATTTTATCTTATGCACTCCTAATAGTTATTTGCTTACTAATTGGACACATTTTCTCCACACACATTTATGGATGAGCTGTACTATTTATGACTTATAAATAGTATGATAGTTATATAACATACATCTACATGACTCAATTATAAGCATTTTTTATACAAACAGGTTATAAGCATACGTAAAATTGAAAAGGTATATAAGAAACTGCTTTTTATTTTATTTTTTGTGTTAGTTCATTTTTTAGAGTATCAAATGAACATGACATGTACAACCCGCAAGAGGAGCATACTATGAACAATTAAACAGCTTCCAAGCGTCAGAGTAAACCAGAACCTCCTACAGAAACGAAAGTGGTGGAGGTTTTCAATACTCCAAGCCCCGCATGCCACAAAAAACTAAGTTACACTTCTACTATACAAGTTAAAACTCTCATCTCTCTGCATTTGAACAGGGTAAGACAGGCAGACGACACAGAATTACTTTCTTTCTTTCAGCTGCTGAACGAGTAATGAATCAATGTCTATGATCATA